TACGTTGGAAGAGGAAAATAAGCTTTCTTGCTTTTTTTGGCCCCCAATTGGTTCCTTAACTTTGAATGAACTAGTCATTGAATTGAACTAGTTGAATAAACTGAAATGAAGAAGATATTCTTTCTGCACCTGCAGAAGAGGCTACTGCTGTCAAAAGCTGTTTTAGCACTTCAGTGAACTCTGGTTCCAGGTGCTTAGCCAGTGATTTCCATCAGTTCAGTGGTCTGACTTTCTTTAAAACTTGTCAGCAAACATGCACTGCTTAATGTTATTTTTTGTATTTAATTTAAATTATTTTAATAGATTATAATAATTTTAGGCCTTAATGTAGGTTGTCATGATTTCAAATTTAATTTTAAATAGGTTTATTTAAAAAACCCTATATTTAATTTAAATAAAAACATTGATTTAAATTAAAAACATCTGTGGTTTTTTTAATTGACTTTTATCCACCCTAGTAATTAGGTTGGTAGTCTGGGATTTCAAAGACCTGGGTTCAATTCCCTTCTCTGCGATGGGCAAATGGAAATGGTAGCTCTGTCCTGCCTCCCAGGGTTATTGTAAGGATGAATGCATGAAAGACTGTGAGGTGCTCAGATACTATGGTAGTGGGGACCATATAAGTACTTAAAGTAGATTTTTCTCAGGCACTCTTGATGTGTTACTCATAACTGCTCTGTAGGTCGGACATGCATCACACACAGAGGATCTGATTCTCTGCTTCAGATCACAATAGCAGAATTTTAAGCTCACTTTGTGCTGGCATAATTGATGGTACAAGATGCAGGGCCAAAATGAATCAGCCGTGGAGGTCCATAAGGGAATTGGCAAACTTGTACGTTACATTTTACTATTCTGCGTCTGTGATAGGCCATGACGCCTGTTCCTTGAACTTGGCCCAGAATCATGTGAGACACGGAGGGATAGCTAAATAGAGCTCCAGATATGTAAGTGAAAGGGAGTCATTTTAGTACATCTGAAACTTCACTGGGAACATTCAGGCTGCTTTTCTTCTCAGTAGTGGGAAGTAATGGGGGAAAGTGTCCTCTCTGTGCCACCTTCACATGCGTGCACACGCACACACGTACATACACTTATGTACATAGGCTATACACAGATATTCTCTCTTGTGCGCACACACACATTGTACAGCTCTCTCATATACACATTTTCTCCTGTATCAAACTAGTCCCACCTTGAAAGCTTCCTTGGTTAACTGCTCATTTCAAAATCATTATTAGCGTACTTGCTTGGGGATTTTGGAATTTAATTAGCCTCTTTTGAACTGCTCTTAGCATGTTTGACTAGAGAAACAGAAAATCTCTCCCTGACTTGTTTGCTTTCCTCCTTCATTGGTTTTTAACTGGAAGAGAAAACCCATATTGATGGGTTTTGCAGCCCTCCTGATGCAACTGGTGCTGATTCTCAGGATAAACTCCCTGAAGAAAGCTGCTTATCCTTTGAGGCATTAAGGTCTCTATTGTAAGTGTGCAGGATGTGTTGAGATCAATGTAGAAAGGTCCAGTATCCTCATTTACCACAGCAGAACTAGACTAGCTGCTGATAGGTATCATGTAGTTAGGTTCTGTGCAGTGTCCACACACAGAGCTATATCATCCACCTCAAGTCTGACCTGCAACAGCACCTCGTATTCCAGTCCCAGGATCCTGACAGCTCTGCCAATATACCTCAATTCTCAGCTCCAGCAACACCTGCTTTTCAGTCCTGGACGCCCAAGCAGCTCTGCTGGTGCACCTGTATCCTGACCTGTTCTCTGATTTTTCAGCTAGTCCCAAGCCTCTCCTGAAAAAAAGATTAGGAATTGTGCGGTGACTTTGCAAAGTTGGTAAATGTTCACAAGGAACCAGGCTGAGGCTTCCAAAATCCTTTCACTTGCTGAGCTAAGATACAACTGAACATACACTTTGCCTCTGGAGGTAAAAAGGCTAGTGGATGCAGAACATTTTTCATCCTTCATTTTGGTAACACTTTATTCGTATCAGAAATGCCTTGGATCTGAATCTCAAACACCTACTCTCATAGTACAGACCCACAGACATAGATTTTCTATTAAAGGTACATCTTCAGAAGTCTAGTTTTGTCCAATATTGATTTGAAAAACTAGACTCAGAAAAGTACAATCATGTGTCTGACAGTTGCTGCTTACACTTACTTACACACACGCGCGCGCAAACAAACCACAGTGGTTGTGACCACTGCCTCTGGAACTGGTTGTATTGGTCCTGAATTGAGGAAGGATGACTAACTTAATTACTTGATAGTTTTGATTTCTAAAATTAAACAGCCCCTGTGGCCTGCCATATGTGCAACTCTGTTACTATATTTACACCAGCAGTTAGCAAACCGCATCGGCTGAGTGAGAGACTACAGCTGCAGCTAGTGTCTGTGCTGGAACTGTGTTCACAGATGGTGGTTTCCCCGTTTTCTTGACTGCCCCTGATTGCAGTACCATAGGCAGCTGCCATTCATTTTTCTTATATGAACAAATATCCATGTGTTTGTGCAGCTTTTCCAGTTAATTCTCAGTGATTGGTCTATAAATGTGTCCTGAGACTCCCTCACTGTATATCAGCTTGAGAGAGTGTGGAGGTTAAAATGACTAGCTCTAGACCAGTGATTCTCAAACTTTTGTACTGGTGACCCCTTTCACGTAGCAAGTCTCTGAGTGCAACCCCTCTTATAAATTAAAAGCACTTTTTAATATATTTAACACCAATATAAATGCTGGAGGCAAAGTGGGGTTTGGGGTGGAGGCTGACAGCTCGCAACCCCCCACATAATAACCTCATGACCCCCTGAGGGGTCCCAACCTCCAGTTTGAGAACCCCTCATCTAGACCACATTATAGAACAGCAAAGCAGAGTTCAGAAGTTCCTACCCAGAATGCAAAAGGAGATGCTTTCTGATATACAATTAAACTGCAAAATAGCCTCCCAAGGGAAATGGTGGAATCCCTCAATACAGAGTCATTGTATTGAATGTATTGTAGTTTATGGCCCTGCATTGGTTGAGGGTGGTGGTGAGGAAATGAATGAAGTGACAGTTTTCCTTTCTACTTTATATGATGGCAATTAGTGGGACTACAAGCACTGTACAGATTTATTTAAAATCAGATGAAATAGCAGACACAACTAATGGATAAAAACCAAAATGCAATGTATTGCAATGGGGGGATCATTGTCTAGTTCTCTGAGAGAGGGGCTGGGAGTCAGGACTGCTGAGTTCTTCTCCTGGTCAGGCAGTGTATCAATATGGCCTTAGGTAAGTCACTTAACCTCTCTTGTTCCCCAGTTTCCTCATCAGTAAAACAGACCTATCCCACAGAGGGATTAGGAGACATAATTAATAATTAAGTACTTTAAGATATTTGGATTTAGGTGCAATTGAATTGCAAAGTATTGTTAAGTATTAAATGGGATTTTGTTGATTGGTTGTAAGTTTTGTTGTGTGCTGGGATGCACAGGAGCTAGCTTGCCATTGTAGAGTTGCTTCAGACTGTAGATCAGCACACATCATTTTGTTGTTGCATGTACTTTGAGTAGCTGATACTGTGGGGGTTAACTTTCAAAATACATATATTATTTTATTTTTAAGTGGCAAAACATAGCTATTTGAATCTTGCAAATTGATTTAAAGGAGAAAAAAGAGACAGTAGGTCAAGTTTGGAGTCTCCCAACCTTGACAGTCTCCCTTTGAGACTGGTAAATTAACAAACAAACAAAGCCCACAACAAAAGCTAACTTATATAAAAGTGTCAAGCAACATGTATCAATGCAGTCACCTGACTTACACCCACACACGCATTTGAGAATGTTTCCCTCTGTGTTAGAAGCACAAAAGGAATTGAGCCAACAGAGCCCTTGTGGCCAGTGCACCTGCAACTTGTCAACTCACTCCAGCTGATCTTATAAGAGGGCTCCTGGGCACTAGAGAGGGGAGAGAGCTCGTGAGTCAGAGATGCCTGAGAGCACGGACTGAGAGAGATAGAGAAGGGCAGGTGAGAGCTGCCTGAGGAGCAAAGGAGAGACCCACGGAGGAGAAGGAGAAGCAGCACAGGAGAACTGGTACAGGGAATCACTGAGAAGGGTAAAAGTTCAATGGTAAGGACTGGCCAGAGCTGGGGAACCCTTGCTGAGCTAAAGGAGAGCTTGTGCAGAGGCCCCTATGAGGAAAGGGAAGAACCACCCTGGTTAGGAGAAGCTGAGTCCAACACAAGAGGGTTGATGCTGGAGAGTGGATCTCAGGAGCAGGGGTAGGACTTACAGGTAGGGAATTCTGTTGCAGGAGAAGACTCACAGGAGAGATTCAAAGTCTTGGCACTCTCTGTTACGAGGCCTGGAGAGTGGGGCCTTGGAACAGAGGCAAAAGGAACTGTGACAGAGTGGTTAATGATTCTTGGGTGGGTTACATGGGAACGGTGATTTAGGAATGGGATTGAAGAGCTGCTGTATTATAGCCTGGTTTTACTTTGCAGATTTGAGAAGAATGATTTGTTACACATCATGTTGTGTGCTGCCCTTATTTTGTCCTGTGACTGTTAATTGCCCACTCCATTTTCAGCGGTCTCCTGTCCAAATGTGTTATACTTAACAATCTGTTCCACTTTGTAATTAGCTTGAACACTCTGGTTACCTTCCCCAGACCTGAGAAAGTGCTCTGTGAAGCTCAAAAGTTTGTCACTTCCACCAACAGAAGCTGGTGCAATAAAAGATATTACCTCATCCACCTTGTCTCATATTTAACCTGAACTTTTGGGTCTCACTCTATTCACAAAACGGAATCGCTGTGTGAAAGTGCTTAGCTGCCAGCATCTGGAGGGCAATACCTATATGAAAATGACAAGGCGAATAAATTAAAGTAGCCACCACCATCTCTCATGCTGTATAAATGGCTTGTACTGATGGTTGCTTTTAAATAATTAATATTGTAATCCATAGCATAAGAGATGAAATAACTCTACTACCTTCTTACAGGTACCTTCTTTTCTGCGTCCTCCTGCTCTTCCTGGTGAAGACTGATTTAACAGATGTACCTGAAGAAGACAAGAAGAAAGGCAGTAAAATAACAATGCAGGACAGCTTCTGATAGGGGTGAGGAAGATCAATTTTTTGAAAGATTCCAGGAGAGGAACTAGGATGTCTGGAAGGTCAGAGGGTTGCACAGAATAGGACAGGGGCTCTGGAAAGGCAGAATATTGTGTAGCCTGGAACTGGGGGTGTCTAGAAAGCCAGGGCAATGTACAAGCCGGGGACTGGAGCTCTGGAAGGTGAGAGGATTACTCTGTCTGGACATGTGGAACTTGTGAGAGATGAATGGTGGCTGAGAGTTGTTGTTCAGTATCTGAATGATAAATTATAAAATGTTATACACCCGATGGGATTATAGACAGGGTTAAAATGAAAACATTCATGTTGTAGGAGAGGGGAGGTGGGCAAAGACCCGAGATGGGGATGGGCTGTGGTTTGGATAAGGATCTCTGTTCTTGGACTGGGCCCTTTGGATGGGGACACTGACACGCTCCAAGATTTAATTGGCTATTCCTGAGGGGTGTTATAACTTCAGAACGATAGGTTCACTGTATAGGGGGCACTGTGCTGGGGAAGAGGGAGAGAGATTTGCTAGAGCTAGACTTTTGGAAGGAGTGAGTCCCAACTTGTCCCTCCCACTGATGCATGGAATCTCCCTGCTGCTCCCCAAGATTCCCTCCCTCAATCTAGGAAGCAGCAGAGGTGGGCCTCGGTTGATGCTGCAGCCCAAGCAAAAGGTGGTGTGAATTTTTGCATGCTCAGTTCGGCAATACTGAGAGAGTCTCTAGGGTCAAAGACGGTGGGTGGGGGCAGAAGACTTGTAGTGGCCAAGAGAAGTGGGAGTGGTCTTATTTTCAATTGGGTTGGATCGGGAGGGGGTTAGCACCTCCCTTTCTGTTCCAAAGAGGGAAGAAGGATGAGGATTTGGGCTCTCTCTCTACTTACAGTTCTTAGGCTCAGGCTGAGGCAACAGCTCCTTAACAATAACACTGCCTTGCTCTAGCACCTTAATCAAAGGCTCTCAAAGTGCTTTACAGACATTAATGCATTAAACCTAATCCTCAGTCCCCCCTCCTTCCTGTGATGCAGGCATGTCTCTCCCCCCTTTTATAGAAACAAAGACTCAGAGATGCTTGAGCCCAGACTTTTAAAGGTATTTAAGTGTTGCTCTGCTCAGAATTACAACAGCTAAGTGACTTGGGAACCTCATTTCAAAATGACTTAGGCATTTAGGAGCCTAATTCTCATTGGATTTCAATGAGACTTAGGCTTCTATGTGCCTAAGTTACTTTGGAAAATGACTTAGGCTCCTAAATCACATAGGGCTTGCATTGCTGAGTGGAGCAACTCCTAAATATCTGTAAAATCTGGACCTGAATGAATGCCCCATGATCACACAGTAAGTCAGAGCCTGTGAGTATCCTCCTCCCCCGACACTGAAAGTCAACAGCTAAGAGTCCAGGAGTCCAGACTCTCAGGCTTATGCTTTAACATACCTGGGTGCAATTCCATATCTATCGGCACCCTTTGCCTGCTCTTCTGAAAGTCTTTGGCGTGGGCAATTTTACACAGAATTCACAGTTGTGACACACTAGTGGTCTAGCGGATGGATGGATGGGGTTTTCGTCCCAATTGGATTGGTCTCTGGCAACATCTAACTGTGTGACTTGTAGATGAGCCCTGGCTAAAAGAAAAGAGTTCCTGCCAGTTGCAATTCCCAGGAACTCCAATCTCTTTTGAAATTCCCCTTTCTTGTAAGCATCTTATTGTTGCAACATAGCAGCTAATATTTGTGTAATCTCATCGTTTTCACCCCACATTTCATTCTCAGTGATGAAGTAAGACATTAAAAAAACCTGTACTCAGCCCAGGAGTCAACTCAACTAACAGCTGCTTTCATTAGTTGAGACCGTTGCCCTTGAGTCACTCTGGCTCCACTGGCCCTCCAGATGTGTTTGTGGGAGCCAGACTACTGTACATCCATTGTGCCTGATGATTCTGCTCCCTACTGCTGCTGTGGCGAGTCTCCTAGAACGCCAGAAACAGGAGCTCATGACTGTCAATCCTGTCTCTCTTGCTACAAATCTCAGTTCAGGAGCAGTGTGTGTGTCTGTGTGGCCAGAGAGAACAAAGGGGGAAATTCGGAGTAGGGTGATGGGAGACCCTGAGGTGTCTGAGGCAGGTCTTGGAGGACCCCAATGTGGAAAGAAAAAAGATGGTGTGATATAGTATAGCCACAAAATTACAGGTGGAAAAGTCCTATGGGGTCCCATCCTATCTAGCCCACTAAAGCCAAATTTTACACTTTTACTTCAGTGTAAATCCAGAGTAAAGCTATCATTTTTCTTGGAGTTATTCCAGATTTGCATGGTGAAACAGAACAGAATTTGGCCCCCACACTCTATTTGATAGTTTAGTATTAGGTGTCCAAAGTGAGAGGGCTTCCACCTCTTCATTTGGAAGACTACACTACAATCTAAGTGAAATCTATGAAACTGCAACGCTTTTCTTCTTTCTACACTGCACCTTTACATTTCTAAGAATGCTGCCACTGGGCAGAGTCCGCAGCCAGTTTGTTCTTAGAGGCAGCCTGTTCCAGAGGAGACCTATACACTCTGAGCTTTTCTGAAGACTTGGCATTAGTTCTTTGTTTTCTTAATCTAAAATCATTCAGATTGAGAACATGTGTATGGAAAATCATACTATTAATAATAATGCATTATTATTTATAATAAATCTCTATAAGGCCTCCCATCCAAAGATCTCAAATAATAGCAGATCTCACTGCTAGGAAGTGTTCGCTGGTTTTGGTGATGGTACTGTATGGTTTAGGAAATGATGAGATGTCTACCTTAAGAAAACAGCATAAAGAATTATGCCCTGCTGAGCCCTCCTTCCCTCCCCCAGTCCACAAGTGTGCCAAAACCTTGAGTTTTGTGTAAAGTTGTTAAATAAGCTTCCAGGCAAAATAAAGGATCAAAGGGGGCCTAATTAGCTGCAGTCTGCATATGAATTGTGGCTGTTCACCTAGTTTTATAAATTGACACTTTTAACATTAAAACTCAAAGCAAAAAACGATGTAATTATTCCCGTTTTTTTGAAGCTTAGGTTTAATATCTTTATTGAAAATTGGGTACTTCTATTGCATCTCAAGATGCTTTATTCTATCAAATCTGGAGCAAGTCATTTTTTCATTTTGGATTGTAATGTGGTATAAATGATAACAGCCTGATTCCGAACGCTTTCTCCTTCTCCTTCCCCATTGGCAGGCTGACGAGAAAGCTCATAGTCGAATCACAATAACCCTGAAGATAATCTACGGTTTGATTCTTTGTGAGACTGCTCGCTTTATACAAGGGGGGGAAGAGTGGGATTTTAGCTCAGCTTTAGAATGCCCAAACCCATTTTGTCTCCACAGGGATTATTATTATTTTTTTTTTTTTTTTTTTGTCAAACTAGGATTAGCATAAAACAGATCCCTCTGATGGGACCCTTTCTGGGCTGCCTTCCTCAATAGCAATGTTTATTTAGGCTGTCTCTAATTTAGAGATGCAGTGTATGGTTGGATGGACCAACATGCTGTAGTTAAGAGGTGGAAAAGGAGTGATATACAGATGATTTTTTTTCCATAGACTTTTTTCATTTTTGTTCTAATTTGACTTAGTTAGGTGTTTCTCTTGCTCCTCTCTGATCACTTGGATGCACCGTGTCTAATGAATTTTCATGTATTAAAACTTGCCTGTTTGCTGAATTTGACACCAATATTATAGTGGACTGGACTGGTGTGGACTGATGGGGGAAGAAGGTCCAATTGTTTAGTCCTGGCCCATGGCATCAGATTAAGATTTATATCACAGCAGCGCCCAAAAGGCTCAGCCTCAAGGTCTGATAGTGCTGGCATTGCACAAATGCATAAATTCATGGTCCTTGCCCCCAAGACTGTACAACCTAAATAGACAAGCAGCATATGAAGGGGCTGTGTGAGAGGTGCAGCAGAAAAGGCCAATTTCTTACTGAATCTTAAGCATTTCAGATGTTTATCCAGAGGCTTATGGAAACTAATCTGGAGTTCTTTGGTCTGGGAATCTCCTGAGAACTGTCTTTCTTATGAGAGTTTTACTGTTCTTTGGCTTGTGTTGGAAATACCATGAGTGGGTTTTCCTTTGGGATTTTAGTATATCCCAAGTTTTGCCCTGGGCTGGAAGTGAAGTGCAACAATATCTATGCAGTGCAACAGAGCAAGAATAGAAAAATTACCATTTTGTTTTGTATCTTCTGAAAAATACTAATGTGAAAATCATAGATTCTGGCAAAGTTTCAAGGCTGTTAATGTTTCTTCTGAATTTATTGGCTTATCTCAAAGGGTAGAGAAAACTTTCATTATAGAGACAAAGGCTTTTCCTTAAATAATCCACTTTCTCATTGGATTATAGGTCTTGGATTAGTGCTTCCTTATGAACCCAGAAATGCTTTGCTTTGCTTGCTTCCTCCTCCCCCGATAAATCTCTGATCATTTGCAGTGATTAAAGAAGACCCCACAAAAATTTCTGCAAGAATGTATTACATTGCAGCTATGTCAATTACATTTTGGCTGCCCTGAGTTAGCTCTATATTTTTCAATTATAAGAGCTGATTGAATAAAATACATAGCAATTTTGGCACATTATTTTCATTGATTCACAAATGAAAATTTCCACAATATGAGCAGGGTTGGGTTTTGCCATGTTGTTCATTACTACTTCTCCTAAACTGTTGTGTAGTGTTTGTGGTAAACAAGCATAACATTCCCCTCCAGAGGTGGCTGCATTTCGGGAATGGATAAAACAGTCTTTTTCTTCTTGTGCACTGTGTGTATGGACTTTGGTGCCATATGAAATACAGTCCAACCCTGCTTGCATTGAAGTTGGTGGCAAAACTCCCACTGACTTCAAAACACTGTCTCTGACCTGAGGAGCTTACAATCTAAATAGACAAAGATCAGACACAAAAGCTGCTGCAGAGACTACTGCAGCTCTGAGGCTGCAGAGTACTGCTACTCCTGCTGAGTGATTTGCTGGCGGGGCGATTTCTTTCCTTCACCCCAACATGAACCTGTAGAATCCCAGTGCAGTGTTGGGCTGTGCATTGTGTCAGGGATTTGACTTTTAGTAAATAGAATTTTCAATACTAGTTGGTGTTTTGGAGCTACTTCATGGTGTCTGCCATATCGCTCAGCAAGTTACATCACTTGGGACAGCGTCACTGAGAGGCTGATTTCCAACAGAACAAAGCAGCTTCTGTCCTGGCTCTACTATTAGTATAACAATCATTTTAAAAATTAAAGTTTTGCAGCTTAACATTTGTGTTTAAATATTAAACAAAGTTTTTCCTGTAAGGTGATTTTGTTTAATCATCGGCTTCTATGGCTGACAAGGCTATAAGCACTATAAAAGTTTGCAGAATTCCTAAAATGCTCCAGAGAATGAAAGTTCTTATGAATTAATAAACTATATGAGTGAAATACAGGTTGCAAACCCATCAAACCAGTTATCTGAGGGACAGAAACATGTATGCATAAGAGGACAGAGCATGACAGTCCCATCAGATACACCGTTGGACAGATTCCTTTCCATAGGTACCAAAATTATATTTAGTGTGTAGATGAGTGGCCCTCAAAAAGAATGTCAGCATTTCTGGGAGTGCCAGTTGCAGCCAATTCTAACCTGACTGACCAGCCATGGCTCTAAAATGCTTGACAAGGTAGGCTTTGTCCTAACAGGATGGAGATTTTGAACTCATGCATGTATCTGATTTAGGCCTTGTCTACACTGGCAAGTTTCTGTGCAGTAAAGCAGCTTTCTGCATTGTAACTCCCGAGGTGTACGTACTGCCAAGCCACTTAGTGTGCAGAAAACCACCCCAATGGGAGACACGGTGCCAGTGTAGACACTCTGGTCGCTTACAGCACTGTGAGGTGTGCCACAATGCCTGTTCTCACCTCTCTGGTCATCGGTTTGAACTCTACTGCACTGTACGCCAAAGGAGAAGGTTGGATATTATACCTGGACATACGCAAATCTTTAACAGTCCCGGGACCCCACCTCCTCCTGCGACCCTTCTTTCCCCCATTCCCCTCCATGCTGATGTGTTTTTTGTTTGTCTCTCTCCCCCGGTTGTTGTTTTTTTAATAATTGTTTTGGTTTGAAAGCAATCTTTATTCCATTAACTGAAAGCAAACATAGCCCTGCAAAGCAACAGGCAAATTTCTTACACCTTCAGAGTGCATTGTCTGCACCAATCACAAACACCTCCTAGCATTACAATCACTGCAGTCCCGAGCATAGCAACAAATATTAGTGGCTTTCCACTTCAAATTGCTGCCTCAACGCATCCCTGATCCTTATGGCCCAGCACAGTGCCCCTCTAATAGTCCTGGTCTCTGGCTGTTAAAATTCAGCCTCCAAGTGCTGAGCCTCAGTGGTCCAGCTCTGAGTGAAGCTTTCACCCTTCCCTTCACAAATATTATGGAGTGTACAGCACGCGGCTATAAGCACAGGAATATTGTCATTGGCCAGGTCCAGCCTCCCATAGAGGCAGCACCAGTGGGCCGTTAAAGGGCCAAAAGCACACTCAACAGCCATTCTGCACTTGCTCAGCCTGTTGTTGAACCACTCCTTGCTGCTGTCAAGGTGCCCCATATATGGCTTCATAAGCTACGGCATTAAGGGATAGGTGGGGTCTCCCAGGATCATAATGGGCATTTTGACTTCCCCTACGGTGATCTTCTGGTCCAGGAAGAAAGTCCCGGCTTGCAGCTTCCTGAACAGGCTAGTGTTCCGAAAGATGCATGCGTCACGCACCTTTCCAAACCAGCCTGTGTTAATGTCCATGAAATGGCCACATAATCCACAAGCGCCTGGAGAACCATTGAGAAATAGCCCTTCTGATTAATGTACTCAGTGGCTAGGTGGTCTGGTGCCAGAATTGGAATATGCGTGCAATCTGTTGCCCCTCCGCAGTTAGGAAAGCCACCCACAATGTCATGCACATTGCCAAGAGTTATGATCTTTTGGAGCAGGATGTGATTAATGGCCCTGCACACTTCCATCAACACGCATCCAATGGTTGACTTTCCCACTCCGAACTGGTTAGCGACTGATCGGTAGCAGTTTGGAATAGCCAGCTTCCACAGTGCAATCGCCACGCGCTTCTCCAATGCAGCTCTCATTCTTGTGTCCTTGCGCCACAGGGCTGGGGCGAGCTCATCACACAGTCCCATGAAAGTGGCTTTCCTCATCTGAAAGTTCTGCAGCCACTGCTCATCATCCCAGACGTGCATGACAATGTGATCCCACCACTCAGTGCTTGTTTCCCCGAGCCCAAAAGTGGCATTCCACTGTGGTCAGCATCTCCGTGCATGCTGCAAGCAAGCTCAGGTTGTAATTACTACGCATGGCAAGATCAATTTCGCACTCCTCTTGCCTTTGTAGTTTAAGGAATAACTCCACTGCCACTCGTGACTTATTGGTGAGAGTGAGCAGCATATTGGTAACAGTGCGGGATCCATTCCTGCAGACCGAAGAGGCAGAGCGCACAGTACACAAACCATTGAAAGATGGCACCAAATGTGGACGGAAGCACAGGGATTGCTGGGATGCGACACAGGGCATTGGGACAGGACCCAGGATGCCCCGCGATCCCCTCCGTCTTCCCACAACTCTTAGCAGCAGAAAAGGAAGAGATGCTCTGTGGGATAGCTGCCCAGAGTGCACCGCTCCGAATACCACTGCAAGTGCCGCAAGTATGAACACCCTATTGCGCAGGCAGCTGACAGTGTGAACACACAACAGTGGTTTCCCTTCAGTGCTCTCTGAGAGGTGCTGTAACTCTGCCAGTGTAAACATACTCTTAGATAGTTCCCTGTTTTATGGGCCCGGATGGTAGAGATCATTTACATAAACAATCATAATGGGAGCTCTTTAAATGATCCTTAACAGGAGTCAGCTTTTCTGCCCTTTCAATTTGTTCTAAATTTCCCTGTCTTTAGTTTCATTGATTGTGACCCCTTTTTCTTATCGTGTGTCTGTTACACAAAAGATCTGATCTGTTTTCAGTAAGACCACTGTCAAAGCCCCTCTAACTCTCCATTTTTCTAAGTGAAATTGTTCCGCTTTTGCAATTTCTTGTCATATGTACGCCCTGTCTTGATTTCCTTTCATCATAATTATACTACTCTTTACCATTTTGGTCTCAGCCACATAAGGAGTCAGAATACTTTGTTTTCATCCCGTTTTACTGGAGATTAGCAAATAAAAAATACCCCATCAGATAATTTATAGGCGTTGTTTTGGGAGAGGGCTGGACTGTGACAGAGTTTTATAAGAAAGGTCCCTTCTGCGCCTTCTGAAGGATATGTGCCCTTTATGGGGTCCCCATTTAGGTGTGCTGAATTCCACTGGTTATCTGGTTTTAGTAGTAGAGAGAAGGAGGAGCATTTTGAATTCAGAACCTTCTCCTATTACTCCTGGTCATCCTTTGTGTGTTTCTGGACTTGCTATGCGTCTGCATGTCCAGACTTATGGACATATCCTGCTTCATAGGAACAGGAAAGGAGGACTCCTGATGAAGTGTGTGGGGGGGGGGGCACACTAAGAAGGAAGCTCTCTGTTACACATGGGGTACATCCTCAAAGCAGACAGCCACACATGCTTCAGCCTGACCTTTTCTTTCTTTTTCCTCTCTGCAGGCTCCCATGGGAAGATCAACAAGTGACATACATTTCCATCCTTCTGTTGTCAGACTTGTGGATAGAAATCTTCATCTTGGAGGTAAAAATCTGTCTGTCACTTGGGTAGTTGTCATGTGTGGGAGGTCACATGTTACAGAGGACCCTCTTGTTAATTAGAAGTTTTCGAAGTTCTGTTTTTGTCAATGATTGCCTTGGCTTTTCAGAAGTTCTACCATAAGCATTGTGGTAACTTTTTTAAGGTTCTTTGGGAGCTATTAAAGTGTGATATCAATCAGATATTTCTGACCACAGAGATCAAAAATGTAATTTAGTGATATGATGATAGGCAGCTAGAGTTCTCCACAGCATTCTTGTCGGTATTGTTTAATGACCCAGACTCTATGACTGAGTTGAGTAATAACAGCTTGGACGTGAATATAGAAGAGAATGTCTGGTGGGTCAAAATTTCTACAGTCTCAAAGCAGCAACAGTACTAACTTGCCACCTCTGCTGTATTTCTCCTACCTTGCTCTGCTTTCTGCACTGTTAAAGTCCTAATGTTGTGGCTGTCAGCTGGGCCTAGATGCTAGGGCGGGGATGATACCAATCCTAGTAGAGCTCTGCCTGGGGCATATGGACGACCCTTCTTATCTGGCATTTCATAGGAATTTGGGGCAGGAGAGAAGTTTGCTTGCTGAATCTTGAGCCTTTCACTAATATTCATTGCTTGAACCAGCCATGTTCTGCAACTGCATGAATCTCCTCCTTGTTTCTGATGACTAACAGCCTACTTTTGAAATGAATTAACCCCATCAGCAGAGTTTGCCATGCAGTGGCTAAATGTGTGCATGTCGTAATATATCATTTCTCTAAGGCTTTTGTTTGTCTCCAAACTCTGGAAGGAAACCTGAGACAGGTTTAGATGTCACTAAAGATCACTGGCTATCGTTTTTATAAATTACATTTAAAAACCGATATTAAAAGAACATTAAGGTTGCAAAGTCAAGCACTCAGAAGAGAATTTAGCTCCAAGCTCTCTCAAATCTCCAATGAGCATGTTTGAACTATGATTTTTCAGAGGCTTACAACTCGGCCAAATTTGGGTGAATTTTACAGAGATGGCAAAAGGCACAACCCTGAACAAGTGTGACCTCCCTGCCAAATTACAAGCCCTTGCTCTGAAGCATTGAGGCCCTAGAGCTTCTCAATGAAACAGTTGTAAGATTTTTAACATGGGCAAAACAATATGATATAATTAGACACCCACTGCTGTCCCGTGCCAGCTGACTCAGGCTCACAGGGCTCGGGCTAAGGGTCTGTTTAATTGCCATGTAGACACTTAGGCTCTAGTCCAAGCTGTGGGACCCTCCCACCTCACAGGATCCTAGAGCCTGGGCTCCAACCCAAACCCAAACATCTGTACTAGAGCCCTGTATGGTACTATTTTTAAAATTCTACTCCAGTGCCACCCCACAATATTCACTCCCACATTGTTTCTTACATTTTTATCCTGCTCCCATATGCAAAAACCTTAAATCCTGCAAATCCCGCAAGAGAGACCAATTCCTCCCGCAAAACAAAGAAACGCAAATGGCATGGTCAGTTAATATATTTTATACATATAAATGGACTTCAGACACAAATTTTATCACTAAAAGAATAAAATAAATCTTGCTTACACCATGTAAAAAAAAATTACTTTAACTCCTGTTATAATAGACATCAAATCTCTTTCTATCCCCCTTTTAAATTCAAGTATTAAATCCTTTATTTAAAAAAAAAGAAAAAACTTGCTTTACATTGCTGAAATTCTATTTATGAAAAACTGATGGGAGATGATGTTTTCCCGCAAATTACCAAAGTCTGGGGGATTTTTGGCCACCCAATCCCACCCGCAACAAAGTACATTTTACCTGCTCCTGCGGGACCCATGGGATCTCAGTCCTGCAGTCTGTGCTGCAATTAAATAGTCTCTTAACCCAAGCCCCATAAGCCCAAGACGGCTGGCACAGGCCAGCCATGAGTTTTTAATTGCAGTGTAGACATACCCATTATTAGTTATGTTACAGGTGGGAAACAGGTATAGATTAAATGATTTGCCCATGGTTCCACAGGAAACCTGTATCCTGAATCTCAGTCCAGGCCCTTAACCCCAAAGCCAAGCTTCCTCTCCTCGTGTTTGTAGAGTCCGGCTATCTCTCTCTTCCTTTCAGCATGTTCAGTCACAGCTAGACCAGCTGGGAATAGTCACAGTTGGCATTCACCCTATTTCTCTGTGTGCAGTGGGAGAAGTGGGCCGTTTCCCGTTCCTTCTGCAGTGTTGCAGGGGACTGTCTGTCTAATGAGTTCATATTCACCCCCCTGAGAGAGGGGTGGGAGGGTGTGTCTTGGCAGTGGGAAAGTGTAATGGTGGCTGGGGGTGGTGGTGGTAGGTAGACATCAGCCTTCCTTTACCTGCTGCATGTGAACAGATAGGGTCAAAGGTAAAGCTTGCAGCATGAAAGGCTACTTGTTGCGGTGTTTCTTGGCCAGTGAGCATGACAGCCTTCGGGGTAATTACCAAAGGGGAGAGAAGCAGGTTCTTGTCAGCAGACCTACAGGGCTACAATTTAATGAAGCAGTTGCAGATATTCAGGTAGATTGTTAAAAGTGGCAGTTACATCGTAAGTGAGTGACTTACACGCATCCAGCAGGATTCATTCAGGCAGCTGTTGCCCTTTGGGTCTCCTACCGGCTCTTGAGTGTAGCCCAGAGCGTGTGTATGCTGCACTCCAAGCTATGCCTGTGGTTTGTGTAGACAGCCCTGCCTAGCTTTACCCACGCTCGGATTTCTAAAAGCAGCAATGAAGATGTGGCAGCACGTGTTGTATGAGTCCACCCGGAACCCGGGTGCCTACTGGCATTGCTGGAGCCTGTGCCGGCACATCTACATGGCTATTTTTGTTAGCACTAGTGTGGGGAAAGCTAGTACAAGGATGTCTGCCCAAGCTGTAATCATATCTTGGATTGCAGCATACACATAGCCTAAGCATGACTGTCTCTGTCTCCTGTGGTGATTTTCTCTTTCTCTTTTCCTGCTTTTTCTCTCCCTTTCTTGTATGTTATCCTAAATCTTTCTCCACCTCTCTGTCTCCTCCTGTTCCTTTATTTTTCTTTCTTTCTTTCCTGTACTTTTCACCTTCTCTATTTTCTTCTCCGGTACCTGGGTCTTAGCCCCCGACCCTTTCTTTCATGGTTTCTTTAGCCTTGTTTTTGTTTTCTTCTCTAGTTCACTCTGCTAAATGGCACTGAGTGATCATGTCATCGCCATTTCATAATGCAAAATGCTGCAAGACTCCCTGGGTAATGATATTTGAAGTGTGCCTGAGCTGGGACTAGCCGGCACTGTCCTTCCTGCAGTATCCTGAGTGTGCTAGCATTGGAAATCCCACAGTCTGTCAGAATGTCTGTTGAGTCTTACTTGGCTACTGTTTGGGAGTGATCGTTGTGTCCGTCTCCGCCATCGCCCTGTCAAATGAGACATAAAATTACCGTCCTGACCAGTTTCCACAAGTGTTGGGTTGTTAGCTTCAGGGTACTGGTGAAAAGTCTCTGCTCGTGTTGGAGTCCAAGTTCTGTGATGCTGGTCGTACCACTGTGGGGGCGGTCTGCTACAGACGTTTCACAAATGGAAAACCAGATTTTTTCTACCCCTGTTGTTTGCTGGATTTTTCCCTTAAGATGATCCCTGTAAGACAATCATTTTTTGACAAAGCAATTTACCTAAAATTTTGCAACCAAACACTTGCCATTTGCTTTTTAGAATAAATATAGATACACACTATAGTCTGTGGTAGAAAAATGCACATAGAGAAAATAATAATGCTTTGCCTTTCTGGACCACTTTTCATGCCAGTATTTCAAAGGGTTTGTGAATATTAATGAATTTACCCTGTATCATTATTTCCATTTTACAGATGGGGAAACTGAGGCCGGAAGAGGGGAAGTGATTTGTCCAAGGTCACATAGGGAGTCTGTGGCAGGGCCAGGAATAGGACCCAGGAGTCCTATATATGAACTGCTGTGATAGATCACATGCTCTTGGAAAGAGCTCTTTTAAAAATAAAAAACTAGGTGTCTGTTTGTTGTTGCTGGTCTAGTGGCTGCAGTGTCCTCCATGGTGGAGAGTAGATAGGGCTTGTTTGTAATGAATATAATAGTGATTCTTTATTTAGGCTGCTGGGCACTGACAGGTCCCGTGGCTCCCTCTGACTCTTTAACTTGCATATTAACTAAACACACCTTGTGCCATTTAGCATCACCACACAGGTCCTCCCTATGTCCTGGACTGGATTTAGCATTCCTGAAAAGGACTGTTAACTGTATTGCAGAAACCAGCTCCTGTAACTGGTAGTTAGATTGCAGCACCCCCAGAGAAATTATATTTTCAATGTATGTTGTTATTAGGACAACATGTTCGTACTATAATGAAAAATAAGTATGTTTTATGTGGATTGGACGCCTTTAGTCACAAGCTGACATGATACCTGACCTTTCCAACAGGTCAGATGCAATAGTTTGGATATAGCCGAGGAAAAGAAACCTGAAGAAGAGAAGGTAAGCTTGAAACAGGAACTGCCTACTCATGTCTGCCAATGTCAGTTTTGTGTGTATTACACTGTTACAGATTTTTACCAATAATGTCGTTTGATTGTCAAAACCCCTTACATATGGGCTGATGATTTTCCAGTGCCACCAGAAGGAATATCCTAGTCCAAGGCATAGTCCAATAGCAGCATATCTTAAAAGTATCCTGCAGGACTGCGTTGGCAGAACTGTGCGGGGAGCCCAGTATTGGAACAGCAAGGGATGTTGTGGGCCAGGAGTGAAGTGCCTCGGCAGAAATTTGGGGCAAAGACTATACAATGACTGCTTGACTTGTGGCTGACTTTTCCTGCCTATGGGGGAAATCTTTTGGAATCTCTTCACACACCGAAGGGTCTGACAGTTTGGGAAAAACACACGTTTCAGTTTCTGTGTTCCCATGTCTCATACTGGATTGCTGGTCAGGGAGATTTTTTTGCTGTGATACTGAGCAAACAGATTTTGGAAACGAGCTAGTCTTCCCTTCATTTCTGTCTCTCTCTCTCTCTCTCTCTCTCTGCTTCCCAAGCCGCCTCACATGAAAATACTGAAAAAAATCTGGTAAATGGTTGTGCTACTGGACTGAGATCAAGTCCCAAATCCTAAGTGACTCTGATCTGAGTAGCAATAATGCTGGAATTTGAGAACTGAAGCTGTGTTGTCAGGTAGACGCTCTGAACCTCTGAGTCTGGCTATCCCTCCAGCTAACATGGTTCCATGTCCCCCTTCCCCGCACTCAGCTGTTTGCTATGATGACAGGCAATGGCCTTGAACGTAGTACCATGATTATTATATTTTTTTGTGGTTGCATATTTTGCCAAAAGGTTCAGAGCCATCCTTTGGATTCTGCAGGCCTGTACTGTCCTCCGGGAGCTGCATTTTGCTGAATAGCCACTTGGTTACACTGGAAACAGCAGCACCACCACCAGCTCCAGCAGGCATGGAAGCAGCAGCGGTGGAAGCCCCAGAGGGAGCAGCAGCTGCAGCAGCAGCGGTGGAAGCCCCAGAGGGAGCAGCAGCTGCAGCAGCAGCAGTGGAAGCCCCAGAGGGAGCAGCAGCTGCAGCAGCAGCAGTGGAAGCCCCAGAGGGAGCAGCAGCTGCAGCAGCAGCGGTGGGAGCCCCAGAGGGAGCAGCTGCAGCAGCAGCAGCGGTGGAAGCCCCAGAGGGAGCAGCAGCTGCAGCAGCAGCGGTGGGAGCCCCAGAGGGAGCAGCAGCTGCAGCAGCAGCGGTGGAAGCACCAGAGGGAGCAGCAGCAGCGGTGGAAGCACCAGAGGGAGCAGCAGCAGCGGTGGGAGCCCCAGAGAGAGCAGCAGCTGCAGCAGCAGCGGTGGGAGCCCCAGAGGGAGCAGCAGCTGCAGCAGCAGCGGTGGAAGCCCCAGAGGGAGCAGCAGCTGCAGCAGCAGCGGTGGGAGCCCCAGAGGGAGCAGCAGCTGCAGCAGCAGTGGTGGGAGCCCCAGAGGGAGCAGCAGCTGCAGCAGCAGTGAAAACACAAGTAGATCTGAAGTCAGTAGCCAAAGCAGCAGAGAGGGTGGCAAAAGCAGAAGTAGCCAAGGTGCTGCAGTCAGCAGCAGCAGAGGTAGCAATCATAGCAACATGGGTCTCTAGCTTGGATGAATGTCAAGTGGATGTATATGGTGCCCCCCCCCTTTTTTTTTTATAATCATAGGCTCACAGACTCTTTGCCTGGCTGGTGTCCAGCAATATGGGTGGGAGGGCATGGCTCCATTATTAAGAATAAATCTAGTCTTCTAAACTTGCCTTCCAAATGCACCTTAAATACTCAGCTGGTATGAACATGTTCATGCTTAGCCTCAAGCCAGGGGAGAATCATTTCCTTTGGAAAGTTTGAAGTTCACTAAAATTGCTGCTTAGGATTTCCCTTCCTTTCCCATCTTGTTCCCTCTCTTTCTCCTATGAGTTTTTCACTCATTATGGCAGTCATTTAATCCCATCCATTCGAGTTAAGGATGCAGAGTACTCTCCACGACAGCCACCTCTGTCCACACGTTCATCACGTTTTTAGACATTCACGTTTTGGGGTCAGAAAATGCCCAGGCGTGATGTTTGCCCCAAGGTGAATTTTTCTTTTAAGTTTCAGCAAAACCCTTTGTCGTCTGTGAGCTCGCTGAGGGTGCAAAAACTACTTTTTGAGCCTGACTTGTAAAGTTGATGCTGTGGAGACAGATTTTCCAAGGGACTTGGAGGCCAGATTTGCCAGGGCTCAGCACTCAGCAGGCTAGATTTTCAAAAGTGCTCAGGAGCTCCTTCTGGATAAGTCATGGTCAGACTTATCAAAGCCCTCCCACCCAACCTGTTGAGTTCATCTGAAAATCTTGCCACTTATTTTATTACCTAAATGGGAGCTGAACTCTTTGGAGAATCCATCCTCGGTTGCAGAAGCTGACCACTTTTGAAAATCTGGCTTTTGGTGCTTCCTTGTCTGTCATTCCACAAGCCATTCAGAGTACATGTCCACTCTATTGGCTATCCCCTATTATCTGAGGCCCCAATACAGGCAAATATCTCTATTCAGGATGGGCATTTTGGCACATGCTTGACTTTAAGCATGTGCTTAAGTATCCTGGAAGTCAGTGGGATTTAAGGACATGTTAGCGAGGTGCTGTCCTGGATTAGGACCTGAATGGGGAAAAGTTTGAATTCTCAAGGGCACGATTTAACTGAATTTTCTGATGAATTTTCAGCTAAAACACAGAAGGAGGAGTGCAAGATTAAAGCTGAGGAACCCCACGCAGAGAGAAGAGGAGAAAGAGCTGAATGAAGGCGACGTGAAATGAAGTAAACTGCAGTTCGTGTAATACCATCGGAAAGAGAACACTGTCTACAAGCAATATCCAATCCAATTGCTGTTTGAATGTGGTAGGACACGAATCACATCCTTACAGAAAGAGCATGGGTCCTCGTTGAAAAAGTTAAAATAATAAAAATGCACTGTTTTTCCAGTGTAGTAATTTTATTAAGTGTTTGGAAGGCTTGTCTGTCCTGCAGGGCGAAAAACCTGGACCCCCAAACACTGTTTCTGGAAATGGGAGAGAAGAGGGCGTTGTTGGTGCTGGACAACACATTGATGACAGTTGCACCCCAAGTTAGTGGGGTGAATTAATGCGCAGTGACTTGATGTTAAAGTGAATATATGCAATATAGACTTGATCCTGCTTGTCTGACTTCAGTGGGACTCCTTGTAGGGCCCAGGCAAGCAAGATTTAGCCACATGTTCACACTGCACTGGCATCTACCCAGCACTAATTACAATTCCCAATACTTCATCATAGGTGGTGGGTATAATAGGCCAGGGAGGCTAAACCTCCCCTGGTGCAGGCGCTGCAGGCGAACACCCAGTTGCAGGTTTTGGTAGTTGGCACGGGGAAAGTTTTAGCTTACTATTATACTCCATGCAGGTTCCGGAGCGGCTCAGGAGGTTGTATGTGCTACTCAGCTTCCTGGGTTCATCACAATCTCCCTGAACTCCAGGGCGATTACTGACGAACCCAGGAAGCTGAGTAGCACATACCACCTCCTCAACCGCTCAGGAACCTGTATGGCACATATAAAAAGCTCAGGTTCTTTGGGAAGAGACAAGGGCTTTTCCTGTAGGGCACTTTGGGGGTCTCAGGAGGGGAGGCGCGGCAGGGTTGGGGCAGCTCCAGCCTCCCCGAGGCTCCTCTGGCTGTGGGGGTTGGGAGTACTCGGAGCTCTGGCCAGCCTGGGCTGCCTCTGGCTGTGGCAGGGAGGAAAGTTTTTGCTTGGGAGGAGTGAAATGTGAGGCCCTGTTTGTTTGTTTGTTTCTTTCATAATTCTGCCCAGTAATCTGAAGGGGCGGGCTCTTTCCCTTGGACATGATGATGATGGGGAGAGGAGGGGGGGGAAATGCATGAGTCAAGGAAGGAGAGCAGCTCAGGAAGAAATTGGGTTGGGGAGGAGCACCTTCTCCACAGTGCTGGGTAGCCTTCAGATTGCAGGATCTATATGTGTTCTTTAATGCTGTTTAATCCAGCACTGCTGCCACATTGCTCATTACGCCAGATTCATATTCTGAGTGAGCGAAGGGAGACTTCCACATATTGGAAGATCTGTTTTTTGGTCAATGAAGACATGGGGAAGCCCTTGTCTTTGTGGATCTGTGAGGCTTAGGTCATGTGGCATAGCCTTCATAATAAATGACTGAGGGTTAAGTGAGATGGAGAGTGCTCTATTGAGAGCAAAACTCATCCTGGTATTTCTGTCTGAGACCACTAAAGAACTCTCAGCACTTTTGCAAAAGTAGAGATTGCTACCCTCGTATTCTGCCCAAATTTCAATCTGGGTAATTATAATGTGCCTCTCCAAATTCCCCTGTACGGTAGTTGCAGTTGGATGTGGTATTCTCCATATTGCTTCACTTCCATTCTAGCACTGTTGTTTAGGTTCCTGTGAGAAATTAAACAGTGGTTCCATTCCACTCCAGAAGCAGCTGCATTTCAGTGGCAGGTGACTGATTCTCCTTTATCTGCTCTAGAAAGTGATTTTGGATCCTTCAGAACAAAAAGCATAATATAAACAGAGGGTAGTATTGTTCTGTCTTTCTTTGGCTGAGTTAGCCAATGATGAAGAACCATATACTGTATTTATTTCTTTTTTTGGAATGCCTGCCCTATTCTGCAGTGAACCCAAGGGGGTGCAATTCCAGACTCTTGTCTTTGCACCTTTATAGAATACTGCTGCAACCTAAGTCATTCCTTTGCTGGTACTTTTGCACCACACCCTGACACACCTAAACTGGGTTCTCTCTACTTTAAGCAACAGGCTCAGCTGGGGGAGGGGTATAGAACAGCAGCATTTGATTAAAGCTCAGCCCCCCTGGCCCTAGATCTAAGGAGGCAGAGCTAGCCCTCCCCTCCCTTACAATAATTTTATTTTATTACAGAAAGGGCTCATATTAAAAAAACTCATGATTATGTTTTCTGTTCACCAAGACTTTTCCTGTATTCGACCTTTGGATAACCTCCAAGGCTTGCAAACATTTGAAAGGAGTAAAGGAGCTCATTTTATTACAGGGCCTCAGCATACATTCTTTCCAGCCTATCTTTAACATCAGTTAACAAGAATTATATAATTGCAGTCTGTGATCCCTTTAAGGCTAAAACGTATTCGTTTTCCCTCAAAGAACACTTCAGGTTTCAGAGCTAAATGTATACTTTTTTTTTTCTTTAAGATTGCATGTTAAGTAGAAGAAATAGCCCTCAAATCTCAATCTGTGTTTCCATTGCACATGAAAATTAATGGGTTTTGGAGAACACACATGAAGGAAAAAAAATCCTTTGGTGAAATCAAATACAATTTCAAGCTACCAAGTTCAAATCAGTCAAATTAGTATCCAGTACTATAATGATGGATGTTGTAGAGATGGTCAGCTAGATGGATTGAATTAGATCTTATGTTTCGAAGGTATAAACTGGTAATCTGCAGGGGTCAGGAAGAAATTTCTCTTCTCCCACTGCAACTGCCTCTACCACCATGTTGTCAGAAACATTGGATACCAGACACTCAGGAGAAAGAGCTGGGGGAATAATGAAAGAGAGAGAGAAAAAAGGCACTGGAATTTTAAAAGAGAACTAGTTGAGACCATCTTCACATTCTTCTTGCATACATGCCCCATGAATGTTCTTGCCATTCAGTTTTATTCGCATGAAGTAAATCAAATCCCAGAATACAAATATCAAAATCATATGGAGATTTAATGTGAAATTTGCATGTGAGAGTGTTTGGGCCCTGACATGCTTGTGTGCTCCTCCAGTCAGGGAGCAGAAATGACACCATGCAATGGATCTGACCAGTCACAGCTCAAATAGCGAATTTGAAGTACTCACAGAGAACTGATCAACTGAAGCAGCTTTAAAAAATTACCAAAAAATCCAAACAAAAACAAACCTAAAAAGCCCATTGAATAATTTTTTAATAAAAATAATACGAAGGAAATAATGATCTGCTCCTGGATGTTCTGCATGCAGAAAATGAGGCTAAATTCATCTAATAAATGATCTGTTACAAACTATTCACTGAACTCTATTTAGAGACAGGAGACTGGGCGCCATGGACTGATTGTCTGATCTGCTATGATAAATGATACATTTTAGTATCAAATGTGGATTGAGCAAGAGGCTGGAATCTGGAGACTTGAGTTCTGTTCTTGACTGACTGACTTTATGACTTTGGGTAAGTCACATGACCTCTCTGTGTAAAAAGAGGATGATTGTGGTGAGCCACCTTCCTAAAGTGCTCAGATAAAAGAGTCTAGTAGTATTATAATTGGCACTTATAGTGTAGAGTAAAAATGATTCACATCTTGAAATACTGGGTTACTATGACACTAGGTGTACTAATGGGGCAGACTGAGTGGGGTTTAATGTATGGTACCTAGGTGTAAGTATAGAAACCTTAGAGAGAGAGAATGCTGTAACAGAGTGATGATCCCTTTTATAAAACACAAGTCTGTAGCTTATAAAACTTGATACACATTAAATATATAGCACAAAAATGTTTTATAGTTATGGCCAAAGGATCTTTGAATGCACTAGTTTTCCTCATCCGTGCAGTTATTTCTGTAGTGTAGACAGGACCTTAGCATAATACCTGCTGCTGTACTGAAATGAAAATACCAGGTCTGTTAAGCTCTTCCTTGCTTTTGGTTGCCCCTCTGGATCAACCAGTGACATTCTTGTTTCTGTTTCATGCAGGAGGCTAGTTTACAAGGCAAGTTCCCCCTTAGATATCACAAGAGGCTTTCTTCCCCCTTTCTTTCTCTAAGAGGAAGAATTAGGTCACTGGTAATACCATTTGCTCGCTCTCTCTTCCCCCTTTTCCCTTCCTTCCCCCTTCCCCCAGTTAATCTGCTCTCCAGTATGTCCATGTTACAAGAGAAATAAAAAGCTTTAAGTGAGCACAGAATTTTTACCTCACCTTAGCACTCCAAAAGAGATGGGTGATTTACAGAAACCAGCATGTGGAAAAGTCTTAAAGTAGAATTTCAGATGCTTCTGAGACAAAGCAAAAAGATAGCAGAGTATTCAGGTGTCATCTCTCTATCCAAAACGGTCACATTCTGTCTGCTTTTAAGAAGTTTGGTTTATGGTGATTACAAGTATATCTGCACTATGCAAGGCTATTTTATGCATACAGATCTGTGCATTTGTTCACCTAGTGACACAGCCCCCCATTGGTGGCTCATTACTCTGTGTCAGCAACTCTTCTCAGGCCTGACATAGTCCGTATATCCCAGCTCACTGACATCAAGATATACGTCCAAGAGATGGCATGTAATGTATCTCTGGAAAACTAATAACTCACTAATCATTAATATAGATGGTAAACCCACGAGACTTTATAGATATGTGCTGCACATATGTTTTTAAAATATATTTAGCAAGCAGTGCCTAAGCCATGCCTGTTCCAGACAAGGGAATATAAATTAGGCAAGGTGTGATCAAAGACAAAGAAAAGCACATCTGTGTGCAAGGTAAGCAAAACCATCAGGAGAACCAGTGGAGGAGGATGAATACTTAATAGTCTATGGGGGATGGTGACTGCACTCCCAGGGAGACTTCCTGCTTCTTGTAACAGGGAGATATAAGCAGAACAGAATGCCATTTTAGTATCCATCACTTGCGGGATTAAAGGGGCCAGAGCTCTTGAATCACAGAACATTGGATCCTTTAACCAAGGGGGCTGAAGTCTCTGGAAAGTGAGTTGAGGTGAGAAACCTGCTTAGGCAAAGGTTGTAACTTGCTGAAATTAAGTTTTAGTCTTAGAAACATATTTTACTTTTGTTTGCTTGTAACCCTTTCTGTCTTCGTTCCTTATACTTGGTACCACTTAATCCTATGTCCTTTTGTTAAATAAACTTGTTTTACTTTTACTATAAACCAATTCAGTGATGTGATTGATATGAGTGTTTGTCAAACCCCAGTTAAATTAATGAACTGCAGTGTATTGCCTCTTTAAAGGAGCAGCAAACTTGATAAGTTCTGTGAGTGTTCCAGGCAA